TGTCACTTTGTTTCATGATTACAGTGTATACGGTTTTCTTTATTTACTCTCAAAAAATGGAAGTGAAATGTGACAACATGCCCCGTAGGTGGGGTACATTGTAACATCTGAGGGGCACGTTGTAACATGACCATATAACAGCTTAAAATGTTATCTGATTGAATAAAAAAAATACACAAGACAAACTAAAATATTTTGTCAATAAAATAAAATAATTATTTATTTAAAATAAAATAATGGCGTTTTTTAAGAATTAAAAATAATCTGATTTTGGAGTTTGACAATGAACACATTGCAACCATGCTTGGGATGGCCCACATAAATGAGCCAAAATGCTTTACATGTCTTGAAATAATAATTTCTTAACATTAAAGAAATTATGTGATTAAATAATGATATGAAACATCTATCATGTGTCTCTTTTTTGCAAACCATTTAGTTGCAGCTGAATACCACGAACAAAAAATCAACAGGCTACATAAAAACTGGACTCTTTAAGAGCTGTTTGTGTGCAAAATAGAACTGAATGATTCTGGATAAATTTAGTTTTTTTTCTTTTTCTTTTTCTTTTTTCTTCCCCAATAGAAGTTGTGGTTCTCTCATGATTCTGAAGAAAAAAACATTAGACAACTAAACAAAATCACTTGTCATTTATGAATGAATGATTAAATGACTCACTCAAGATGTACCTGTTTCATTACTGGATGAATCAACATTCTTGAACAAATCTTTTGCATGATTCAAAGACAAATACATTTTAGCCACTTTTCGTCACCTACTGGCTTAACAATGTAATCGATAAATCTTCATTTGAAGTGTCAAATTACTTTCAAAAGGTGATTTACTCTATTTTAATCGCTACCGTACACATCAGAGTTTATATCTGAACTATAAACTTTTATCCCAGTACTTCTGTGATTTGAATGTTTGTAACAGAACTCTAGCGTAGCGTTAGTTCTGGCAGGTCACGTTAGTCAATCTCGCATCAGCTGACTCTCAGCTGATCCCCATCAACCTATGGGAATACGACACCTATCTAAGCATTCATATATAAGGTCCCTCAGTATTATCAGCAGTTTTCGCATTGCTCAATAGCTAATTACCCTTCTCCATCCCCAACTCCTCCTCTGTCAGTCAGGATTCAGCCTTCTGATTCTCCTTTGAATCAGACTAATTCTAAAATGTGTACATAACATTATTGAACTTTAACGATATCTGCAATACATTTATGTTGGTTATGTTCTGTTTACCCTGGGGGGGTTATCGCTGCTCTCATCCATATAGGCTGCATGGATGCGCAGGGAGTTCTTGCCCAGAAAAGAACCATACCGCCAATCCAAACTGTATGCTAATTGTCAATCATCTTTGACGATAGTGGTCCTGACAGAAATAATGATACTGTGTGTTTGAAAAGACTGTGAAGCTGTTTCATTCATGACAGCAGCTGCTCTTTAGGTCAATGGCAGCGCAAATGCAAATGTAAATGTTCAGATCACACTGGTGTGATCGTATGCTACACGGACGAACCAAGTGATCACAACATTGATCGCACAAAGGTTGAGGAATGAAATAGACGAATCATTGTCATTTAGGAATAGAATCACGTTGGTGTTTGAAACGTGTTCGCGATCTTTAACGATCTATTAAATTAAAGTGCTTTGTCATGTTGTGGTGACACCTCTCTTGCACATTTAACTATTGTATTATACTTAGCTTTTTTGGCTTCTGATCACAAATGTAGCCAAACTTTGGAGCGCTTAGAATAGCGAGCAAGGTCCAGGCAGATCGCTAGGTCAGGTCCTCACAAATTAAGAAAAAAAAGCGCATAGGAATCAATAGGCGGAATCGAAATTTTAATTTGACAGCAAGTATCCGATTCCTGACCTTAAGTATCCGATTCTGGAATTGAAATTGATTTTCGATTCCCAACCCTAAGTGTAAGTATATTTTCCTGCGCAACAATAATTAAATATCTGGTGGCTCAGTGAGTGCAGTTCACATTTATTCCTCTGCACTGTTTGATAGACAATGATGATGTGATGTTTCACTCATAATTACCGCAGGCATTAAACAAAAGAATATCAAGAAAATGGCTTTACTGCAGAGCAATTACTGTACACAATGAAATATATGTGTCACTGTCATTTGATTGTGGATATGGTGAATAAGCTGTGAACGATCAAAATACTGATTTTGAAGTCATTGAAAATGGTAGTTTTGAGAATATGTTTGAGATTGCGAATATGAGCCAGATGCTGAATGTACTGTGGAAATGTACTCTGACGATGACAGTGATGGTAAAATAATCTGCTCAAATTGAACCCTTCTAAGTTTCAAAAGGTAATAAGCTTTATTTTATTCTTTTGTAACTGTTATTAAAATATCAGGAGAATTACGCTATTGCAGCAATTAGAGATCCATCCATGTCGGATATATAGACCAATTCAGAGTAGACGTCACAGTTACGTCACTTGCAGCTGCGCGCGCACAGTGGTTGCAGAAAAACACTGGGAACAAAGTGGAGATAAATGGGTAAAATCCATGGAATAAAGAAAATTTTTTTTTGTGCATTTTGATGTCAAGATCGGAATGCAAATAATTTTTATAGAATACTGTCGTCAAATAAGCCATTTGAAGCTAAACGCAGACGTTTAAATGGACATACTATGGATGAAAAGTGTTATGATTACTCTACTTTTAAAGCATAAATTCGATTTAAACAATAGGTCTACATAATATTCACATATGCTGTTCATAGGGGACGTTGTAACGGGGCTGACGAGACGTGAGACGTGTGGATCCATCTGCAAGCTTTTATTAAAGAGACGTGGTATAACAGGCAGGGTCGAACAATGGCAAACAGGTATATGGCGGGCAAAAACATAAGAATAGTCCTAGGGCTAGCGTAGGTCACCGATCGGCAGACAGAATCACAGGGGCGAGACGAGAGGGAGAAATCCAGAAAAACAGGTAAAGATCAGAAACCGCAAAAACAGGCAAGGCAAAACACGGAGACTCGGAAAGGAGTACAGGCTAAACAATACTCAGCAGAGAATGGTGGTTTGAGTGGGTGTTATATAGTGAGTGAGGTGATAAGAAACAGCTGTGTGCAATGAGTGCAGTCAGTGCAGTGTGCAAACCGTGCAATGAATGATGGGATATGTAGTCCGGGGTGCTATGCAACAGTTTGTGTTGTACGAGAGTCAATGTAATGGAAAGGGTGACCTCTGGTGGTGAATAAACGGAAGTCCATGGACCGAATTCATGACAGACGTATTGTATTAGCCCTACAGTTACAGCATGAAATATGATTTAAACCTTCCTATTAGAAATACTATTTAAACCTTACTATTAACATTTTTACATAACATTTATTTATTTTATCTCACAATTCTGACTTTTTTTCTCGCAAATGCAAGTCTCCTAATTCGGACTTTATAACTCGACTTAACTCAAAAATAGTGAGTTTGTCAAATCTGAGGGAAAAAAGCCAGAAGAGCCGAGGGGAAAAGAGAGAATGACGAGTTGTTTCTCCTTATTAGAATTGTGCGATATAATCTCGGAATTGCGAGAATAAAGTCAGAATTTTGAAATATAAAATCAAATTTACCTTTTTTTTTATTCTTTTATTCCATGGCTCCATAGACTGCCACTTGAAAACCGTCATTTTCTGCCTCCAGATAGGTTCCGCCCACAAAAACGTCATCCCTGTTTCGTATCTGTAAGACTATCCCACTCTCTAACGTCAATTTTGTTGAATAACAGTGCTTATCGCTGGGTGACAAGCGCTTGTAATGTGCGGAGAACATTTTGAAAATGACATCTATTCAATAGAATTTATAATCTTTTTAAACCTAACTATTTTGTACCCTATCCATTAAGTTCTCTGGACGTAAAGGCTATCTCTCCTGAGTTTTCTGCAACCATGATGCTCGCGCATCCTGAATGTTTACAAACCTATAATTGGTCTATAGGTCGGGGTCACTAAAGACCCGAATATGTAATAATGATTGGTGAAACATCCATTCATTTAAGGGTTAAGCAGCAAAACTGTTATGAGATGTCAATAATTTGTAGTTAATGTGATAAACTCTAATTGGACACCTGTGTGAACTTGAGTCCACATCCACTATAATCACTTTGGGACAAGTTATTTAAAAATCATTGGCATTGCATTGCAAAACTATATTAGCAAAGTTAGTTTTATGAAGAACTCTAGCATCAATTGTTTGCAGATGGCACTTGATTTTGATAATTGCATCTAATGCAATGCCATTCCACATGTGAATTAAATGTCCAAAATCTTTTTGAGAGAAAGGACAGTTAATGGCATGTCATCAATCGTTTCTTTGGCCCAGTTACATCAAATGACTGATCAACAACTTCTTGTGACCAGCTTAAGTCATATGTAAGGTGATTCCAGCTACTTAACCAGAAATAAAGCGATTGCGTTGAACTTGGCAGTCTTGTGAAGATGTGGCCGAGAAGTAATGTAGCAGCAATCACATAAAGGCCAGTTTTTTAATGATTTCACGTACCGCTGACAGCGATGAAAGAGATGCTGATTATTTCTGCACACGTGTACTGTTTATTGTGGAAAATTACTCAAGCATACACGCAAATTCAGTGCGATTCACTTCATTCCTTCATTTCAAATTGCTTAAGCACTTTTTCCAGTTCATGCTACTGAAAGGCGATTCCAGTGTGACTTTAAATCAAAAGCAGTCTGAAACACATAGAGTCTGAATAAAATATAATTAGAAGAATGGAACTTGGCTATATGCTGTCGTATTCATTCATTGCCTTTTGTCATAGTTTGTAACTGGAGAGTCTAGTGGTAGTTGAGTTGGCTATGCTACAGTTACCTAAATTAACCAGGAGAGGAAAATGTCATGCTCAGTGTTCTGATGTGTTATTCCAACATTATGGAAAAATAACCTCTATTCTTGATATCGGGTGTTGCATTGTCCAACTGTTATTTTCCTTTGTTTATCCTACAGCCATTGTGGACGATGAGAGGCTGTCGGCAGAAGAAATGGATGAGAGGAGGAGGCAGAATATTGCTTATGAATACCTTTGTCACCTAGAGGAAGCCAAACAGTGAGTCAAAGTATATATATTTCACCCAAATGAGTCAGATGGACTATGCTTAGGGTCCTTCTCCTGAAAAAGGTTGAAGACCCCTTATGAACATGAACTTGAGTATGCCTAATTCAGAGGTGATCCTGCCTAGCATGTGGCTGTGCTCACAGTGTGATAACTTATCAGTATAATGTGATACTGTAGTCTATTTGTGATCAGTCAATATTGTTTTTACCAGGATGGCAAAATAAATAAGCTTACAAACCTTTCACAGACACTTGAAATTGCATAATGTGACACTGGAAATATCCATGAAGATATCAAAACTTATTTTTTGATTAGCAATATGCATTGCTAAGAACTTCATTTGGACAACTTTAAAGACGATAGATTTTTTTGCACCCTCAGATTCCAGATTTCAAATAGTTGTATCTTGGCCAAATATTGTCCTATCATAACAAACCATACATCAATGGAAAGCTTATTTATTCAGTTTTAATTATTAAATAAATTATTATAAACAATTTTAAAATCTCAATAAATCTAAATTGTGTGTCAGGAGAATGTGCCACAGCCCTGACACCCTTTAGTTTAAAAAAAAGGGCCAAAACATCACTAATATTAAATTGAAATAATGAATTTTAATGTTAATTGTCCCAATATGATTCTAAGAAATTAAACATTTGAAACCAGTCACTTCTCAATGAGCTACCAGAATGCAACATTTATGGAAGCAATTCATATATATAGGAAATAAATGTATGTATTTTTTTTAGTATGTTTATGATTTACTTCAATGTGTGCACTACTGTTCAAAAGTTTAGGGTCAGTAAGATTTTTAAATGTTTTTGACAGAATCTCTTATGCTGTAATATTGTGAAAATGTTATTACAATTCAAAAGAACTGTTGTGTATATGATTATATTTTTAAAAGTAATTTATTCATGTGATGGCAAAGTTGAATTTTCGGAAATTTGAGTTTTCAAATGATCCTTCAGAAATCATTCTAATATGCTGATTTGCTGCGCATGAAATTTATTATTATCAATGTTGAAAACAGTTATGCTGGTTCATATTTTTGTGGAAACTGTGATACATTTTTATTGCAGGATCTTTGATGAATAGAACATTCAAAAGAACAGCATTAAAGGATTAGTTCACTTCTGAATTAAAATTTCCTCATAATTTTCTCACCCCCATGTCATCCAAGATGTTCATGTCTTTCTTCTTCAGTCGAAAAGAAATTAAGGTTTTTGAGGAAAACAGTCCAGGGTTTTTCTCTATATAGTGGACTTCAGTGGGGTTCACTGGGTGGAAGGTCCAACTTGCAGCTTCAGTGCAGCTTCAAAGTGTTCTACACGATCCCAGACGAGGAAGAAGGGTCTTATCTAGTGAAACGATCGGTCATTTTCTAAAAAAGAAAGAAAAATGTGCATGCGTACTCTGTGCAGTCCCATTCGAAACAGTTCCAAAAACTCCCATCTCATTTTCTCCTCCAACTTCAAAATCGTCCTACATCGCTGCAGAAGTACCGACCCAGTGTTTACAAAGTGAACGTGCAAAGAAGGTCAAACGCCCTTTACAAAAAAACAGTAAAACGGTGATATAGGATGATTTAGAACGATTTTGAAGTTGGAGGAGAAAATGAGATGGGAGTTTTTCGATATACCCTAACTGTCATGAACCGGAATGCACAGAGTTCACGCAGAATTCGACAAGATGAGCGTTTGAGGTTAAAAAGTATATAAATTGCATCGTTTCGCTAGATAAGACCCTTCTTCCTCGTCTGGGATCGTGTAGAACACTTTGAAGCTGCACTGAAGCTGCAAGTTGGACCTTCCACCCAGTGAACCCCACTGAAGTCCACTATATAGAGAAAAACCCTGGAATGTTTTCCTCAAAAATCTTAATTTCTTTTCGACTGAAGAAGAAAGACATGAACATCTTGGATGACATGGGGGTGAGAAAATGATGAGGAAATTTTAATTCAGAAGTGAACTAATCCTCTAATTGTAAATCTTTTGTAACTTTACTGTCACTTTTGATCAATTTAATGTAAAATATTAATGTATTTTAAAAAATTCTTCTTGACCCTAAACTTTTGAACATTAGTGTATGTTCAGATTATAAACCAGGCATATTGTGTGCATGGCTAGAACATTTCCAGTTGTGAGGGCTGGGTCTCGTTTTGCTGTTAAGACGCAGAGCGCAGTTAAATGCATCAGCAGTCATTTGTATCACTGGGAACTTGACCCACATCTGATGAAAGCATGAAAGAATGTGAGGGAGTATGTGAAACTTTTTCCATTTCTAATTTTGTCATTGTGTGATGCCCTAAAGCGCATTAGTCACAAGAGTAATGTGTGAGCAACATGTCTATGATACGTCCAAGAGTATTTTGGTTAAGATGTTAATTAGGCTTTATACAATTGTCTCCTTTTTCAGAGCTTATATTTTTCTTTCCCTGAGTCGAGATAAGAGACTATTTTTATAGTTTACTTTTAATGTTTCAGTAACATTTTTTCCTTCTAATCTTTCCAGGTAGTACTGTTGCTACTTGTCTGCTTTGTCTGCCAAGTACGGAAAAATGGAAATGATATGTCTGACAGTTTCCACAAAAAATGTAAACGGCACAACTGTTTTCAACATTGATAATAAGAAACGTTACTTGAGCAGCAAATCAGCATATTAGAATGATTTCTGAAGGATCATGTGACACTGAAGACTGGAGCAATGTCTGCTGAAAAGTCAGCTATAAAATATATTAAAATAGAAACCATTTATTTTAAACTGCAATTATATTTTACAATATAACTGTTTTCACTGTATTTTTTATCAAATATATGCAGTACTGGTGAGCATAATGATAGCATAAAGTGCATAACTTTTTAATAAATGGTCTGTTTCAAAA